GCGGCGGCGGGACCGGCCTGGGGCTGGTCCAAAGGCCTCGGGGGCCGCGTCCGGCCCCCCGAGGCCTTGGGTTGCCTACCCCTGCCTTAAGTGCTGAGGACAAGGAATACTACGAATCACCAGTGACTTAAAGCATGTTACATGATCTCAACAGGAGACACGTTAGCAAAATGTTCTGTTTAAAATGTGCCAGGCTTCCATAATGCCTTCTGACATTTTATAATTTATGTTCGATATACTAAAATATCATTCCAACACTCTGTGAGGTTCAACAGAAGTATGAATCTTAATGACTTTCTACATTACAGAGCAAGTGACTCCTCATACTACTTCAACAATATAATGCCAACATATAGGGTAACAGTATACCAAACTGAAACAGTTACCAACTTCTCTTAACAATTTTGTAAACTCATACCTGGAAAATGTCATTGACACTAGCACCTACCTGGCCATTTCCCAATCAACTAACATGACTTCAAGATGTTTTAATATCTACGTTCCATCCTCCTTTGGCCTGATAAATACCGCATGCACAATGAACTTGCAGACTCCAGATCCATGATGTACAGGCCACAGAATGTAAAAACAACAATGGATCTCCACTCCTTACAAAATAAACTAAAATGGAAGTTTTCACTATGGCTAGAAAATGTACAAAGTTGTGACTATTATCATGGCAAAAAGATGTTGCCATAGAAAATGTGGTTTCACAGTGGAGGATACATAATGAAGTGTGATGCCTGCTGAAACTGAGAAAGAAATATACTCTCTATCAAAATATTAAATAAACTAACAAATGAACTGGCAATCATTAGTTCTTAAGTGCAACTTCTAGGATGATGACCTCAAAACAGCAAGTTACTTCAAATGAAAGTTAATAGCCAACAATATTTTTTATTAAGCCACCCGTCCTCATATATGGCCTCTTCAGTTTCCCCTGCTCTAAAATGTCTAGTGTTGTTGTTTTGATGCCATCGGCTGTGTTTTCTTGCTCAAGTTGTTTGGATTTAAGGATCTTTTCCTCTCAATCTTTATTTTTTTCCCCATTTTATTTTTTATTAAAAAAATTTTATACATCCTTAAAAATATCAAAACATAGATAATACCTATTTACAATTATACATAACTTCCTTTAGTTTGAACACATTTATAAATATGTCTGATTATACCAATCCATCTCAAATAGCACATGTAAAACCTTCTTACTAATAAAACAGTACTAATCACATATTAATCATTCTCCTGGCCCATAAATTCCACCTTTCTTTTATATATTCCTCTATTGGAGCCCATTCCTCATTCACCAATTCTAAATTCTTGTTATTTAATAATTTCGTTAGTTTATCCATTTCTTTCATTTCTAATAATTTTAGAAGCCATTCATCTATCACTGGTGTATCCTGTTGTTTCCATTTTTGAGCAATTAAAATTCTCACCGCTGTAACC